TTCGCTTGAAAATGGTCATTGCAAGTCTGGTTGTCCTTCCCCCAACTTTGGGATACAGTAGAGTAAAAGAAAATCCCACTTACATCAATAAACTTTTTTGAGGGGTTCATCAAAGATATTTTAAACTAAAAGTATTTTTTGCCTCTTATAATGCACCATTTCCCCTTTCGATGCTATGCCTGAAATTTATTTTTTCTACATTGCATCAAAACTAGATTTCAAATGCAAAATTAATACTGGTTATGCTTATGTTAACTCCTATTCTTTCAATGTGTTTGGTTAGGACTTGAGCAAATGTTAACAAGAAACTTGTCATGTCTGCTTTATCAGTTTGTATCAATTTAATCGTTGAATCATATAATAAAACAATTATTGCTTTTTTTCTGTCAGGACGATCAGTAGTTTTCCACCATCGAAAAACAATGCTCTCCTCGCCCTTTGGACTCGATAAATCTTTAACTCCACTTGATTCTGAATCATTGAATTGACCTTAAAAACAGCAATGATTGTATCAGGTAATGAGATCAATATATCATCGATTTATTCCCAAAGAAGCTCAAGTGAACATTTTGGCCAACAGGTCTCTTGATTTATTATTTTTATTTTGCCCCCTAAAAGTTTCAACTTTAATCCGCTTTAATTCACAAGGGGTCATTATTCTACGGGAGTCATTTTTCTTCACGTGGGGTATGCATGTTTTTAGGGTGATGACACTTTTTCTACGGGCAAAAGAACATATCTTATATTTACATTATTTTTCTGATGACTTGCTACATATTTCTGTCATTCAACGATAATTTTTTTTTTTAAGTTTGCACTATTTTTTGACTTCAATTACATCGTAATGGAAATATTCTTACTCATCCCACGGTAGTTCAGGATAACATGAACTTTTTTCTAATTTGCAAAGAATCTTAATGAAAATTTTTTGGAAATGTAAATATATACCATTTATTTACAGAGCGAGGTGCCCGAAAAACACATCACAATTAACAACAATAATCCTTCAAATCTTTTGAACGTTCTGTTATTACATAAATTCGAAACGGCACAGTGACTGACTGACACAAAATTTGTCCCCATTTATATACCCGCGGACGGATGCTTATAAGGAGTATCACTTTAAAAACAAAAGAATTACGTAATAAAATAACCGATCCTCGCGAGGAGCATCCAATACTATCTAAAAATAATTATTGAAACAATATGATTGACTTTTAGCATAATACTAAGTAAACAAAACATTTTTTCAGGAAAACTTAATCACTGCAGGTTATATACAAGAATACCCAGAATTCGTGAAAATTTTTTAACTCGCTTATAAATACATGTACCAAATACCTATCTCGCGAAAATAAGGTGTTGCGAAAATTTGGTATTTAAAAAAAATGCAATTGTTGGGCTTATACAAAACCAGAACGCGTATCACATCTTATATTACTGTCTTCCCACAAATTTTTATTAAAATAGAAAATTTGGTGTTATGACTAAATAGTCATAACACCAAATTTTCTATTTTAATAAAAATTTGTGGGAAGACAGATACATTGTATATAATGCAATATTATTATAAATTCATCTTTTGTTTTGAGAATGTAGTACTTTTGGAAAGATATGTATTTTTAAAAAGTAACTTTTATGGAGAAAAACATAAATTGTGTTTGAGTATTTAGTGTCAGAATTTAGCACAAAATACATGTATTGTTACAGTGAAAGAATTCAATTTGTCACCCAAGATTTTCTTCTTTATTCAATGTAAAACAGTTTTTTGTACAGGTGAAAAAAAGACTTTCTTTTACAAACATTGACATGTCCAACTAATGGATTCCTATTGTATTTTAGTAAATAATTTTCCTATGAGTTTTTAGAGTCAGATGTTCAATAAGCATGATAATCAAATAATTACGTAATAGTGTTAATCTCTTTTGTGATTTTGTCTTTTTGGTTAAGAAGGCCTAAGGGTCTGAGGTCAAGCACAGGTGTTCAAATTTACTCAATTACTGTGGCGGTCATTTTTTATGTCACATGATCACTCCGTTTAATTAATATTCTTTATTCGAAAAATTTTCACAACTTTTGGCTATTCACTAAAGAAATACTAAATTTTGATTGGCTGAAATCCTGTAATCCAAAGACGCGGAATCGTAGGTGAAAATGCACCCTAGCTCGGTCACTTTCATCGACGATTCCGAGAAATAAACTTCAGTTAATTAAAAATATATTTTCTTTATTCTTTGGATATTTACAGGTATGTAAATCATATATTTTTCAGTTAATTGATTCATTTTCCATTAAAGCAATTCCGTCTATTTCATAAATAATTTTGAAAAATATTAAGTATTCTATTGATTAAGTATTTTTATTTATTTCTTTTTTTTCTAAATTTGAGCTTTGAATTAAGTTTCCTTTAAAGATTTTATTGTTGCATAATCTTTATGCATAGTGACCTCATTTAGTCTTTTATAGTTTATAGTTGCATGTTTTATTGTAATAAATGGGTTTAGCGACAGTCTCAAGTAAAGTGCATTGTTCTTAGAAAAGTTATTTGTAATTTAGCGCCATTATATTTATTTTGCGTTCTTTAATGTAAGGAGGTAAAAATGTTATTTGTTTATGTTTAAAAACGCTGGAAAAGTAAAATGACTTTAGAGTTAAAATCGTAAGTAAACAAGCTTTTGATTGTTAAGATTAATGTTAGATTTAAATACTTTCTAGTTCAGTCTATTTGTAATTTTAGTTCTTTATTGATCAAAGTCAAGAGATGCGTGTAGCGTTGATAAGGATCGTTTCGAATTTTCTCTGTGTATGAATTAGAACCTTGAGACTGTCAGCTGTACTGATGTGTAGTTTAGGTTTATTTTTGGTATCTACGTTGTGTTAAAATGTCACGTCACAGAGGGATTTTTCTCAAATTGTTTAACCCTCTGTACAGTCACCTGATCTAACTTTAAAACGTATTTTTATAATATTTTGAATTAATTGCGTAACTGGTGACTGTTTGTTTATAAGCATTACATTGCACTTTCATCGACGATTCCGAGAAATAAACTTCAGTTAATTAAAAATATATTTTCTTTATTCTTTGGATATTTACAGCCACCGTAGAGGACAGACCAAATACTGCCCACGAGTAGAGCAAATCCAAATACGGAGTAAAGAATTTACAAAGCGAGTGATTCCCCAAATTAATATATATATAACAAGTTCACGTATAACCCCAAAAGAACAACGTGACATTACGTCCAATGAACCCTAACTCCGTCACCAGCGCCCTCTTCAATATGTCAATGTATTGATTAGATTTTTTTTCCAGTTTAGTTTTTTTTTTATCCATTTGTAGATTTTCAACTTGCAAAAATGACGTCACAGTCGCATTCGTTTACAAACAGAGTGGAGTTTCCCGTAAGTGACGGAGTTAGGGGGTTTGGTGATACTGAAAGTAACTCATATATTTTGCTGATTCCCTGAAGACTGATTTCCTGCCATATGATGTGTCAGTTTAATGAACTGATACACACCTATTCGGAACATGTAGTAATTTCTTTTAATCGTAAAGATTTTAGATATGTTCTAAATAAACTTGAATATTCATTTCTTAGTTCAGTATGGAGGCGGGGCTTAATTTGTATGGGAAATAAGTAACTTGTTATTGTGACGTTATGATGCAGTGAGAGGTTCATCATGTTACTCTTTCATAGCAAAAGCTGCTTTTATTTAAGGAATATTTTTAAGTTTTGTGTGATTTATTGGTGTGTAAATCACACAGACTTGTCACGTAGGCATATTTTATGAAGCGCGCTAGCGCTTCATGAAAAATATGCCTACGTGCAAGTCTGTGTGATTTACACACCAATAATTCACACTAAACTTAAAAACACTCCTTATTTTTACATTTTACATGTTCAAAAGCACCAAAAATATACTCAATATTTGAATCATTCCCTGCCCTATATCGTTACATTTTTATTAACATCTCTGTAGCCTCATTGTGACGTCACTTTAGCGCGAGTTTCTCCGTGCATATTTCTACGCGTGAGTATACACGAAAATGACATTCAATTCAATTTCACAGTTGGCTTAGTAGAAAAACACAGCAAATGTAAATATAATCATATATTCCTTGCAATATTACCTTTGTCAGACATTGGTAAAGTTCTTAAAAGAAACTTCTGTCCTATTAGAGAATGTACATGTACTTTTATCACAAAAATACCGAATTTTCCATTGCGCATCTTATAATTGCACTGCGTAGGCCTATAAAATAAAATTGCAGTTGCGAGTTAACTGGTCTAATTTTTGTCACTGAGGGAGTCGGCAAGATTTTTGTTCCCCCCTCGAGCAAGCCTATTTCCCCTACTTCGCCTCGGGAAATATGCCTTGCTCTCGGGAAACTGGAAGCAATGATAGACTTTAACTGTATATTAAAACATCTTGAAAGTTATACATTATGCAACAATTAATCAATTTTAATGAATTCTGATTTCATAATATCATAAAAAAACTTTTGATTTATCATAGTTTCTCCTTTTTAATTCTTGAGTTCGATTTTTAGAAGCTCAAAATGTCAATAATCTAAACAAATAAATGATAGACATGTAACTATCCTATTTCAGTCTATTTCTAGGTTCATACTGAACTGATACCTAAACAAGAGACGGTTATCAATTAATTCCGGTCATATTCGCTTGAATATGGTCATATTCGGTTGAATAATATGGTCATATTCGCTTGAATATAAGCGCCGATAATGAAAGGGGTAGTAGGGCAATTGCATTATCTGACCTATTAAGGATTGTGTAGGTTTGACCTCGATCGGCTCTAATCCAGATTATTCAATGGTTTTTAAATGTTTGTTTGCGGGTTTTAGCAACACCGCAGTGGATTTTGTTTACGTTACATGTATGTTGGTAATTAAACAATAAAGACAGGGAATTAAATATTCTAGCTTCCTTCTATTTATAAGTTAAAAAATCATGCATGTTTGTTTATTGAACAATAGTAAACGCTATACTTTGTAAAGGTCGGACTACGTGCAGTGATGACCGTAATCATCTTAAGGCATACATCGATTGAAACAAGAATGTAAAATGGCTGGAAATCAAGATGAAGATGTCGGTAAATCGACAAAAGAGGAAGAAAGCAAGGAACCACGTTCGTTAAATAATGACATTGTTACTTATGTCCGCTTTAAAAATCGCTGTGACAGAATCGCCACGTTGTTCTGGTTTAATTTTAAAGGAAACTTGGTAAGGTATTCCATTTTGAAGAAAGGAGAGTTTATCGATATGAACACATACGTAACACACCCATGGTGTGCAAGGGAAACTGTGACAAATGATCGACTTGTTATCGACAAACAACGTGTGTTTTATCCTGCAGAAGGAGAAGATTTAACGTACAAACTTGTGTACATCGACATTCCAGGTACACTAGTCGTAAATTGGAAGTAGCTTATGAACGATAACTCTAAATTGTTTACAACATAAAGAAAAGCTAATATAAAGGCATATTTACTAGTAGAATTAAGAGAGGATGAATTTGGCATAATTGTTGTTAACATTTATATATTCCATCAGCTTCTTGTGTTATTATTTCACTGCTGTTTTCATAAATGTAAATCTAAGATTCACCTTTATTTCACAGTTTATTCTTTGAGAGAGCGATGTAAACAGATTATATGGAAAGCATATCCTGACACTGACCCAAAGACACTGGATATACCAAGAGTGCTCACCAAAGAACTGGACACAAAGAAATCTGTATCATACACTGACTACGAAGGCTTTCACCAAACATGATTTTGTTACGTAACTGAAAAAATTGGGTAAAATGTGATATATATTCCTTGAATGTTAAGGCTACTGTAACATCAAGGCCACATGTCACATTTTATTTTTAAAGGAATCCATTCTTCATCTCATTAAGTAATGTAATATAACAAAATGTCATTTGCAAGAGCATGCCAATGATATGCATGTATTCATTTACAGATTTATCTTTCAGTGTTTATAAATAATGTTTTATCATAATCATTGTCAAGAAATCCAAGTGCATTTACTCAATGTTGATACTCAAATCAGCAAAAATGTATAGGTTTTATTTTGTATGTAGAAAATAATAAAATTATATTAAGGACAGATGATACCATTTTTTTTCCCAAAATTTATGAATGTCATGAATGTAACACGTAAAACCATGCTTATAATCAAATAGGTAGATAACAAACAGTAATCAAGCTCAAAAGTCTATCGAAACAATAGAAATCATGGGTAGTGCAAACGCAGACCTCTAAAACATCAGAGATGGGACAAGGTGCTATGGAGGAGTAAGCATCCCCTGTCGACCCGTGACACTTGCCATGTGCTTCTGGTCATGATCGGGAAAACGGAAAAATCCGTAGACAATGCAATGTGCAAACAATGGCCTGACAAATAGAAAACGTCAGTAGGCATTCTACTTAATGATATATTATATTTGCTGATAAGGTCATTGTATCGACCATAGAACTTGCGAAATGATGAATTCAAACGAGACAGTTGATTTTCTTGTTTCATGAGCTTGTTTGTCAATAGCTTGTTTCGTTTTAGAATGTGCATGCACTTGCCCATCGAATCAATTGGGAGACATAAACACCATTTGCAGGTGATAAGGGTATATGGCTACATACATGAAAGTAATGGAAGTTGGCGATAGAAAACTTTAAGTTTATCATAAAGTTTTGTTGTAAAGTTTAACCGCATAGATTTTAATATTTCCTTCAAAGTTTCTCAACAATGTCATACAGAATTTTAAAAATTGTATATATATGTTTTTTAAAGGTGATGGCAAAAAGGTAGAATTTTAACATCATAAAAAAATTACAATTTTTTAATACTTTAGAAATTTTATATTTGTTTCATTTACAGTCAAAATAGGTCCAAAAGTATATATCAATCCGGACATCCTTTTTTGTTTGAATTATAAGTAAATTAAAAAATAATGACCATGAAGAAATATGAAACAATAAAATTCATTTATGGCAAGTTTTTAATATTTTCAAGACTTCAAAACATGGTTATTTGCAATGTTTAATATGTATTTATTGTATTTAAAAATATGTGTTGTGAAGAAAACTTTTTTCTGAATTGACTGTAAAATGTCTGTAGTTTGTTGATAGACATAATGTTTTGAACTTCAAATAGTATCAAACATTTTTTCAATTGCGCCCTGTTATTAGCAGACCTTTTTTTGTATTCATATGAAGCAGAATTTGTGCAAAATCTTACACGTGAAAAGAAGAAAACATTTGCTGTGGCCTTCAACTCGACATTTAGATATATCGACGACGTATTGTCAATTAACAATGGTTATTTTAATTCTTATGTCGATACGATATATCCCGGTGAGCTTGAGATAAAAGATACTACAGAGTCTGATACATCTGTTTCATATTTGGATATTTTACTTGAAAAAGACTTTAATGGTAATCTAACAACCAAGCTTTATGATAAACGTGATGCTTTAACTTTTCAATCGTCAACTTCCCTAGCTTACTTATGCAGCAATATACCTTCATCACCTGCATACGGGGTTTATATCTCTCAGTTGATTCGATACGCAAGAGCATGCTCTACGTATGTACAATTTCTAAAACGAGGTAAATTATTGACAAACAAGTTGATGAAACAAGAATATCAGCAGTCTCGTTTAAAGTCATCATTTCGTAAGTTCTATGGTCGATACAATGACCTTGTCAGCAAATACAATTTATCATTAAGTCAAATGCTGACTGAAGTTTTTCATACTAATTGTTAGGCCATTATTTACACACTGAATTGTCGACGGATTTTTCCGTTATTCCTGATCATGACAAGGAGCACACGGCGGTTGTGACCGGTCGGCAGGGGATGCTCACTCCTCCATGACACCTGATCCCACCTCTGATGTTTTGGAGGTCCGTGTTTACTGTGCACCTATTTTATAATGTTTAATGGACTTTTGAGCTTGAATACTGTTCGTTATATCCATATATTTCATTTTTCAATTTATTCTTTAGTAAAAATAGATGAAGATCATTGATAATTATTAAACAGTTTTGTTGCACTCCGCACAGCAGTAAAATTATAAATTGAAACCGTAAAAATAATTCATGAAGAGTTGGCAACATCAAGTGGAAACAAGATTGTGCAATATTTATAGTCCAATACTTTATAATAACACATGAAAGTATTTAAATTTGGCTTTATATCTTGAATGATTCCCTATATATGTATTTAAAAAAAAAAAAAACTAGCTAAAATATATATATTTAGAAGATAAAATATAAACAGGACAAACACTGTAAGCAACTATGCTCAACCAGAAACATTCTACTCATCATTTTTTTTCTTTATATTTATTCATACATGTATTTGATCAGCAATAATTCTAGCATATTTGTTGCACTCCTAACCAAGAGCACGGGGGTCTTTGAAGTAGTATTGTGAAGCGAAAATTGTGTCAAAATTTGTTCTGTTGTTTCGGTAAAGTTGAGGTGGTTTATAACAATTTTTCAGTGTTTTTATTTTTAAATTCATAAAAAAAAATCAAAGAAAAGCTTAAAACACATAGAAAGATTTTAATAATAAAACTGTCAATAATTTAGAACCAGATTATGCAAATAGATCATTATTAATGAAAGAATATTTCTTAACATGAATAGAAGTCTTTTCTTAATATAACTCGAGTCTATAAAAATGTTTGTACTCTTGACCATAGAAATATTAATCTGAAACACAGACAGGCCCTGTAATTAATAAATCTATTTGGCAAAAATGTTTTTCGTGTCTTTGTTTTCCAAAATAAAAATCAGAGAATCATATACTGATAAAAGTTTTTTTTTCATGCTGGGGAGCAAAATATCAGATGTTTGCACTCCTGATATTATTGGGTATGCACAGATAACTCTAATTAATGCTACTTGTAATTTATATAACATTTGTAAGTTTTAAATTGTATATCATTTATTGTTTTACACTTTGAAAATTCTTTTTTTGATTTAATTGTCTTTCAGATTTTTAAAATCCATGTTTTTTGGCAACACTACATTTTTTCTGTTGCACTCTTGACATGGTATATCATTTTTTTCAACATCAGCCATGACCACAACTTGGTCAAACAAAAGTTGGTACAGTCTACATTTAGGCTTTAAATATTAATTTAACGTCTTTATTTCCATCATAAACCATTATTATTTATTTCACAGATCTTAAAAAAATATTGAATTTTCAAAACGTTACAAAAAGGCGTTGCATTACTTACATTTTTAGCATCATTTATGGGCATAACTTTTGTGAATTGAGATATCAATGATATGTTTGGTAGGTATTTAGACACTATCTAAGGACATATGCTGAGACATAGAAATTTATTTCCATTGCCTATATTTTTTGTGCGGATTGATAAATATTTGTTTGGTCATTTTTTTAATTCACCTTTATCATTCCTTAATATTATCAGAATGTAAACAGTACCAATTGGTGCATTCTTTACAAATGGAATGTTGCATTAGATTGTTGAATTCGCAATTATAATTATCTTTATAAATTTATTAAATATTTAGCACAGATCATTAAAGCTGAACATCTCCTGTACATGTAACACATTCAGTTCAGTTTGGAATAGGATTCATTTAGAGAATCTTTTAAATTGTAAATATTTATCTACATTGCTTATTCGTTTTAATTGCTGCGTACCTTGATTAAAGGCTTTTTATTTTGAATAATTATCTGTGCATTGCTTATTTGTTGTCATTCCTATGTTACCTGCAGTTGTCCAATAAGTTTAAACATATGAAACACATACAGGTAACCTACTGGATGAAAGAAAAAAATCCATAGACGCTTAAAGATCTTGTAATTGCAGAATGTCAGAAGATATTAGGTAATTTAAAGCTGTGTTATAACAATTAAGGATTTTACGTCGACTTCATAAATGATCAATGATCGTCTTTGACCCTTTGGCTGATATGAAATTTTTGCCAGCCTATGTTGTGAGGGGATATGGTCAGCTTAGCTTGTCAGTTGTGTTTTGATACCCACACCCAGAGCGCATTCGAAACAACAACCCCAACGCTTCTACCTCTTTTAAACCATACTTGGCTTTTGGGTGAATTTAAAAAAAAACAACAGACACGTGTTTATCAACCTGCATAGAAAATACAGGCGCTGTGAATAAATATTCCCATGGTTTAGCATATGTCTTTGATACTGGCTAAATTCCTGCCAAATATATCATTGACATTTTAGTCACAAGAAAGTTATGCTCAAAAATGATGCTACAAAAGTCAGGAGTCCAACACGTCTTCATGACATTTTGAAAAATGAATATTTTTGAAGATCTGTGAAATAAATAATAATAGTTTATGTTGGAAATAAAGATATCTTTCTGATGAATTAATTGTATTGAGCTTTTAAATGAGACTCTAGTTACTTTTGTTTGGCCAAGTTATTGTGGTCATAATTGAGGCTGAAAAAATTTTACAATGTAAGGAGTGCAACAGAAAAATTGTAATATTAAAATCGTCAAAAACATTAATTTTAAAAACCTGCATGACAGTCAAGTCAGAAAAGAATTTTCAAAATATAAAACAATAAATGATACATGTATATCATTTAAAAGTTAAAAAAATATTATATGAATCACAAACAACATTGATAAATTAAGTCAGGTATCTGTGCATACCCATTTATGTCAGGAATGCAACATTTGATGTTTTGCTCCCCAACATGGAAAAACTTTTTTCAGAATACGATTCTTTGTTTTCTATTTCGAAAAAAAGACACAAAGAACATTTTATCAAAAAAATCTATCAATTACACGATCTGTCTGTTTTTCAGATCCATATTGTGCAACGCTTTTTTTTAAAGGTCTAAGTTCAACAAAGA